ACTTTCATGAAAGGAAAAAAGGAACAAAAGAAGGAAGTAAACAGAAAGGTAACATAATACTCAGGCTTCAACTTTTTGAATCAAGTGTAAGGAATTTTGCACACTGTCTCAAAATGCTCTAACAAAATTTATGTTATTCAGTATATAATATCAGTGTCTGTTCTTCATTCAAGACCATGAGGAGTGTGAAACTGAGTCCACAGCTGCAGTCAGTTTATCCATTTAACAATAAAATTCGTTCAATCATGTTAACACAATTTATGTACATGTTAAGTCAGCTGGTTGTAAATTAAGTGTATTCATATCAAGAGCAACCCTTAAAGAATCATCATTCAGAATATAGTATGTTAAACTTTAATAATTAAGTCTCTCATGCACTGTGTTCTTCAGGTTATATCTAATAAGATATGCTCATACAAGCCTCTGAAATGACATAAATTTTGTAGCTGAAGATTTGCTATTGTGTTTCAGTCACCAAGTTGTGTCCGACTCTCTGTTACCCCCGTGAACTGTGGCATGCCAGGCTTTCCTGTCCTTCATTATCTCCCTGGGTTTGCTCAAACTCATGTCTGTTGAGTTAGTGATGCATCCAACCATCTCATCCTCTCTTGCCCCTTCTCTTCTTGTCCTCAATCTTTCCCAGCATCAGGGTATAATCTAAGAGAAATACCCAGACTATAGTACAGGGCTTAGGTCTTAGACTTGAATTTATAGGTATTGTTGGCTGAAAGACATCTGATGCCACCCAGAGTCTATTCAGAGCCATGTGTAATTCATTCTGCAGGAACATTTATTGAAATTTCACAAAGTGCTTAGAGCCAGATTGTGTTTTGAAGAGAGCAGAGAAAGAAGCTACAGGTATAAACAATGCTCCAGCTCAACTAAGAATGGTTAGTGCACTTGAGATGCACTTTGTTACTTGGGCCTGGAGTTTTGTGTATCTTCCAATCTGCCTACAATAGGCATCTGCAACTCTTTCTATGGCCATGTTAGGTTCAGGGGTACAGAGAAAATGAGGTTTGATGGAGCCAAACTTGACTTGGTATGATGGTTTCCAATGACAGCATGGAGTAAGAGAGGATCTGGGCATGGGTTAAGTTGTGCTGGAAATGAAGACAAACAGAAACCTAAAAATAGAAGTTTTACTGTTTTCTCTAACAATCCATAAAATTGACTTGAGTGAGTTAGGAATACAAGGAATCTTCAATAAATATATTTAATGATGTTCATAATCTTGAGCTCCCTCTTTATACCTCATGATATCAAATATGCATTTCAACTGATATCAGTATGATTCTGTAGAAAAATACAGCCTGGTGGTTTTCCAAATTCTCTGTGATTTTGCGTTCTCTATCCATCAGTGTAATTTTGCTTTATTGCTATAACTCTTTTGGAGGAATTTGCCAAATTAAGATTTGTGAATGAGATTTTGCTTAAGCTGTTGTTCTATTTTGCTCCTGGAGAGACACACAACTTTGCACTTTGACAATAAAACGCTATGCTTCTGCTACTATTGTTACTACATAAGAAAAGTGTGACATCTTGAGAGTACATACTTGAAGCACTGAATCCCCCATAAATCCACTCTCAAGCCTTAGGCCGTCAGTGCCTGTCTCAGAGTGTATGACCGCTGTGTTTCACACATAATCAGACATTATAAGGGAAATCAAAAAATATTTCAAGGCCGATTTTAGACAGTTGGACCAAACTGTCATCTAGAAGTTGTTTCTTCCTTCCCATTTCTACTCAACACTACACAGTCAAGAGTCCCAACTATACGTGTTCTTCAGGCATTGAGTATTATTCTTTTTATTATGGCTGTTACTTATTTATTAAGGTTCACAGAGCACATACTGTGCAGTACGTTTTGGGTACCTATGGGGGGTTTCTGGCTTTGTTATATAACTCATTTATTTGTAAACAATGACATTCTCACCATTAAAATCATATTGATGCCAACATGAAGGTTTGGTACTGATGGCTAGTCATAAAGTAACTTATTCAAATCAGTTGCTTGAAAGAATACTGAAACAGAGGACTCTAAGTGCCATTTTTTCCCTTAAGGTATCCCCTTAAGAGTGGGTAAACTCATTTCCCCAATTTAATACACTTGCTTTCTGAAGGGATATTCATTTAAATTCCTTCTAATCTGCCACACTAAAACACATGATGGATGTACTAGTTTGTCCATGCGAATACTGTACAGATATTTGTCAAATGAAATACCAAATGCCACCCATTATTACAATCACAATTGCTAATGGAGGATACATGTATTGTACTCTATAGGACAAATAAAAATATAATGCTTTTTCACAGCCTCTAAATTCTATGATTGCAGCTAGAATGAATTGCCATTTTATACCATATTTTGCAAATACATATAGGAAGAGTATAGCTATAATAAGTCAGCTGTACTAGGTTGGAAAAATGGTAATAGATCAGAATATTGCCTCAGACTATATCTTCAAAGATATATATTGTATGAAAAATGTAGTTTACATCCTGTTTGTGATATTGATTAGATCTCTGGAATGTTCTTCATTGTAACATTTGTGACAATGTAAATAGCTACTTTTCTCTAAGTAAAATCATATAAACTAAGAAAGGGCTTGTTATTCTTCTGACAAATTGAATATATATACAATTCTTATCCCAAGCCCTATCAGCAACTACTAGATAATGATAGATTGTTGAGGATGCTTTTAAAATATGCTTCCCACAAATAGTTTTAAGTATAGAGAAAATCCATATGTTTAGAATAGTTGCTTAGACAAATCTTTACAAAAAGCAGAGAAATAGATTGGATGATTTCTGGAATTCCCTTTCAGCCTTATGGTCACAAAACACATTGGTTATGATTAAAATACTTACAATTTACTATTTCACAATATGCTTTAAGTGACTGTGCAGAATAAGCATAAATGACTTCAGTGAGTTTGGTTCTTCCCCATGCTCCTGCGCTATAAGAAGACCATTGGCATAGCTAAGGCATTTCCTAGTCTCAGAAGGAGGATTAAAGTGCTCCCAGAGCCTATTCTTTCCACACTGACTGTAAACTTGCCCTCTATTCCCTATGGAAGAAGTGAGTTAATCTACTAGTTCACTAAAGAAATTCTTTTGTAAGTAATTATTCTTATGAGAGCACCTTATCCTCTGCCTCCACAGGCTCCTATAAAACCCTGGCCTTCTTGCTCAGATGTGGTTAAAAACAGAGATCTAGATCCAAGGAATGGAGGGACAGGCAAGGATTCAGAGAGCTCAGGATCTAGGTCCTATCTCCACATGAAAAGTGTTACACTAGTGTCCTCTTATGCTCCAAGGAGAGACAGAGTTCAATAATTATAAAAATGATAACCATTATAAAAAATATTTTGCATATCTTAAAGTATTTTCTAGCCATATACTCGGGAACTTGAAAACACTAATTAATCCTCACAGACTACATTGGACACTAGTTAATATATTCCTTAACTGAGTTATGCAAGAACCAAATCATAATGCAGTCAAAACCCTAAACAGAAAAATGTGTTTTATTCAGTAGACATAAGCTACCAGTGAATATACCCACTGGAGTAAGAAATTTGCCACCACAAGGTTTCAAGGAAATAATACTTTCCAACTAATTAGACTGAAGAGAAACTTAGTTTTTATATATGAACCAAATTAGGAAAATTCTGGATACACTGTGCTCCTAATTTCAGGGTGAGTCTGTAATAATATTTTCATGCATTGTTAATCAGAACATGCAATGGAAGCCTATCTGTAACTACTGTGATTACTTAGTATGAAGGTTAGGCATACTTCAGTGTTAATGAAGGTGATTCACGAAATTAAAAAGTCACATCAAATAAAGTACAGAAGAACATTAAAAAATCTCAAATTCATAAAGCACATTTCCCCTTGTTTTTATTATACAAGAATAAACAACATCCTTGGCAAAATAACCTACACTTCTTTCCCACTAATGCCAGTGTTTAGTAATTTATCCCCAAGTGTGGCAGTTAGCCTTTAGGAAGCATACATTGAAGAAGGTGACAGGGCAAGGGGGAAAGACTTACATGTCATTTAGTAGGATGCTATTTATTATAATTTGATAGATTGTAAAAACTATGTATATTTAGAAGTGCTGAGTTGAAAGGGTCCAGTGTAGCAAAGCATTTTATTTTCACTGATATTTCTTAGAAAATAGCAAAAAGATCTTTAATCTTGGTTACAGATACATACGTTTGCTATTAGGAAAGTCCATTTCCTTTGGATTCTGTGCTACATTAATCAAATCTAAAAGACATAATTACTAAGTAGATATACAATGCTTTCTCGGCATCTGAAATCCTAGGTTATGTCTAAGTCTAAGTGAAACTATATTTAACTTATAAGTTAGAATTATATAATGTATCAACTATACAGTAGCATATTCTGAAAAATCTAACAGTGCTGCATGAAATTATATAGAGGTATGTATAAAAATAGGTAATATCCCTAAAATATTTTGCAGTTACAGTTTTTCCTGCTGGGAAGTTTACCACACTGCCAAGATATATGTATGAAATGTTTGCTCAGAAAAACAAAATTAGAAAATATTCCTCTCATACCAACTCACTAAATGTAGGAATATATAATCAAAACTGGCTTTCAAAAGCAATACAAATATATAAAGATACCTATATGTGTGACAAACAAGGAAACATGGACTGTTGATTAGTTTTGAATGGGCCCCACATTTGTAATTAATGAAAATACATATATATGTATTATACATATATAATATATATATGACCAAATCACTCATAAGAACGAATACATTGCCCCCTTGCTCTCCAGGTTTTTTATTGACAGTCATCACCCATCTTTTTCCAGGATTATTGCCTGACATAACAGAAATTCCACTGCTTGTTCTCAACAAAGCAGTGAAAGAGAAATCTCTCTCTTCATTCTCCTGTCATGACCCATGTTCTGGGCTTGTGCTTTTTGGAGGAGTCTTTGATCTGCAGCAGGTCTCAGAGGCTTGTCTCCCGGAGGAACATAGTGCCAATGTTGTAGGAAACCTTTTTTATTTTCGATGAAGAAAGAGAAGGCTTTGGCTGCTTAGGACCAGTTCTTACCTCCAGGAAATAGCAGATCCCAGGGATTTCTTTTGGAAAGTTGTCTGGAAGCTCTTCACGGGACCGAGGAATGAATGTGAAACTTTCTTCTCGTTTTAATAATCTAAGAAGAAAATATATAACGTGAATCATATGGGCAGAAGAGATGGGAAAAAATGGACACAAACTTTAGAGAATCAGGAAGCCTATAGAAGACTGTGCATGTATGTGTGCTCAATAGTGTCTAACTTTGTGATTGCATGGACTGTAGTCCCCCAGGCTCTTCTGTCCATGGGATTTTCCAGGCAAGAATGCTGGAGTGGGTTGCCATTTCCTCCTCCAGGGTGTCTTCCCAACCCAGGGATTGAACTTGTGTCTCCTGCACTGGCAGGCAGATTCTGTACTACTGAGCCACTGGGAAGCTCAATAATAATAAATTAAAAAAGCAAAGCAAAGTTGCTCCTGGTACTACTTGAAAACATTTGTTCAAAGTTGATTTGATTTTTTTCTAAACAAAAGGCTAGAGAAACTGCATAATACACGTTTTTATTCAAACATGCAAGATTTACCCTTCTGTTTTAAAAATCTGCCTAAATTCTGGAACATTCCTTCAATGTTTTATAGACTCTGAGTAAGCTTCAAATCCTATGTGTCATTCAATAAATCAAGTTTTTAGCTTTGTAGAACAGTCATAACTCAATGTATGTGTGCTATCTGGTTACTATTTTCTAGTAATACATATTTTGTAAACTTCTTAGCATTTATTTGTCAAACAGATTTACTCTTCCAGTCATAAAGACAACTTTCTAGTATACTAATATTGGAGATTTATTCTTGTCCAGTTCTAGGAAAGGTTCGGTTTAATAACCATACATAGAAAAGTGTCCTAGCATTTCAATTTTTAAAACTATTTATTTATTTATTTATTTGGCTGCATTTAGTGGGTCTTGGTTGCAGCACACAGGATCTTCATTGAGTCATGCAGGATATTTCTTTGTGGTATGTGGACTCTCTAGTTGTGACATTCGAACTCCAAAGGAAATGGGCCCAATAGTTGCAGCTCACAGGCTTATTTGCTTCAGGGATCTTAGTTCCTCAGCAAGGGATCAAATCCACATCCCCTGCATCTTAGGCAGATTCATAACAATTGGACCACCAGGGAAGTCCCCAGCAATTTAATTTAATTCAACAACTCTTTTTTTTCTTTTCCCATTTATTTTTATTAGTTGGAGGCTAATTACTTTACAATATTGTAGCTAATTACTTTACAATTTGTCATACATTGACATGAATCAGCCATGGATTTACATGTATTCCCCACCCCGGTCCCCCCTCCCACATCCCTCTCCACCCGATCCCTCTGGGTCTTCCCAGTGCACCAGGCCCGAGCACTTGTCTCATGCATCCAACCTGGGCTGGTGATCTGTTTCACCCTAGATAATATACATGTTTCGATGCTATTCTCTCGAAACATCCCACCCTCGCCTTCTCCCACAGAGTCCAAAAGTCTGTTCTGTACATCTGTGTCTCTTTTTCTGTATTGCATATAGGGTTATCATTACCATCTTTCTAAATTCCATATATATGTGTTAGTATACTGTATCGGTCTTTATCTTTCTGGCTTACTTCACTCTGTATGATGGGCTCCAGTTTCATCCATCTCATTAGAACTAATTCAAATGAATTCTTTTTAATGGCTGAGTAGTATTCTATGGTGTATATGTACCACAGCTTCCTTATCTATTCGTCTGTTGATGGGCATCTAGGTTGCTTCCATGTCCTGGCTATTATAAACAGTGCTGCGATAAACAACTCTTATAGGTTGCTAATTATTGCCCTAGAAAAGTATCCTAGATACTGTTGTGAATATAATGATAGGCAGAACACAACAATCTAAGAGGCTTAAAGTTTTGTCAACAGACACAGACACAGAGGAAAAAGAAACAGAAAGTAAAAACTGAATAAGCAAAGAAAAGTCACAGTAATATAAAAGTGATATAACACAATAGACTAGGGACTCCCCTGGTGGTTCAGTGGTTAAAGATCCAACTTCCAATGCAGAAGACACAGGTTTGATCCCTGCTTGGGAAACTAAGATTCTGCATGCCATGGGGAAACTAAACCTGCACGCCACAACTTCTGAGCCTGCGTGCCTCAAGTAGAGAGCCTGCTCACTGCAAGTGCTGAGCCCATGACTCTGAAGCTCATACCACAGTGAGAGAGAGGCCCATGTGCTGCAACGAACAGCCTGCATGTCATGGAGATCCTGAGTGTCTCAGCTAAGATTCAACACAGCCTACAAATATATAATCTATCTATCTATCTATCTATCTATCTATCTATCTATCTATCTATCTATCTATCTATCTATCTATCATCTATCTATCTATCTATCTATCTATCTATCTATCTATCTATCTATCTATGGGTTTCCCTTGTAGCTTAGGTGGTAAAGAATCTCCCTGCAGTGCAGGAGACTCTGGTTCCATCGCTGGGTTGGGAAGAGCGCCTGGAAAAGCGAATGGCTACCCACTCCAGTATTCTTGCCTGGAAAATTCCATGGCAAGTGGAGGAGGCTGGTGGGTTACAGTCCATGGTGTCATAAAGAGTCAGATATGAATGAGTGACTAACACACACACACACACACACACACACACACACACACACACACACACACATCAGTTAATTAGCTAAAAATGACCAAAAGGCTAGATGCCATAAAAAAGGTGAATCCACAAAGGTGTGGAAGTTCAGAGAGGGTTTACAGTGGGAGGGCTGTTAAACTTTCATGAATGGAATGGTATTTAAAGATGGGCAGAACTTCAACAGATGAATGTAGGGAGCAACATAATCAAAGATTTAGATAAAAGAAAATTATGATCAGGATCAACATGTTCTAATCATTGGATTTTATTTTAGAATGACATAAGAGTGAGAGTTAAAGCTGAAGCAGCAGGTTAAGACAAACTTTGACGTCTGAAACTAAAACTTTAGATTCTATTTGGAGGCACAGTAGAGCTACACCTATCATCTTTCCCCCTAAAAACAACTCATTTTCCTAAGACAGGTAAATGTTAACAGGAGAGTGAAGTTATGCAGGAAAAGAGATAGATTGAGAAGAAAAGAACTATTGTGACAGAGACAAGGCAAAGTCAAAAAAGCAGTTAGTGCAAGGAGAACAAGGAATGCTTGAAAAATGTAAGATCATTACACAACAATAATAATCATCTTTATACTAAAGAGGGAAAAACCATGTCTTCTCAAATATTCTTAATGGATAAAAATATTATTTGAAGTAATAGTAGGCAGTATTAAGAATTCTTAAAATGTGAGCAATCTATATTCACTTTTATGAATGGCAGTTGAAGTATTTTGTCTTGTAAAAGTTATTTTTAAAATATTTTATTCTTATTTGTTCAATTTATTAATTTAATTTGATTTTTATTTCATATTGGGTATAGTTGATTTACAATAATACATTAATTTTATGTGTATAACAAAGTGGTTCTTTTTCAGACTCTTTTCCTACATAGGTTATTATAGACTATTGAGTAAAATTCCCTGTGCTATAAGTAGGTCCTTGTTGATTATCTATTTTATATAAGTGGTGTATATATATTAATCTTAAACTCCTAATTTACCACTCTGCCTCATCATTCTCCTTTGGTAACTATAAGATTGTTTTTGAAGTCTCTGATTCTGCTTCTGTTTTATAGATAAATTCACTTGTATCTTTTTAGAGTCCACATAGAAGTGATAGCATATGATATTTGTCTTTCTCTGCCAACTTCATTTTGTGATAATATCTAGGTTCACCCTTGTTGGAGCAATTAGCAGTATTTCATTCTTTTGTATGGCTCAGTAACATTGCATTGCATATATTTACCACATTTTCTTTATCTATTCATCTGTCAAAGGACATTTAGGTTGTTTCCATGTCTTGGTTATTGTAAACCATGCTGCAGTGTACATTGTGGTGCTTGTATCTTTTGAATTATGGTTTTCTCCAAATATATATCTAGGAGTAAGGCAGTGTTGGCACTGGAAGTAGAATCCAGACCTCTTAATTCCTAATCAAGCTTAGTCATACAATAAATAATAAAACAACACCAAGATTTTTTTTTAAATAGTGTTCAGTTCAGTTCAGCTCAGTTGCTCAGTCGCGTCCAACTCTTTGCGACCCCATGAAAGGCAGCACGCCAGGCCTCCCTGTCCATCACCAGCTCCCAGAGTCCACCCAAACCCATGTCCATCTAGTCGGTGATGCCATCCAACCATCTCAATCCTCTGTCGTCCCCTTCTCCTCCTGCCCTCAATCCTTCCCAGCATCAGGGTCTTGTCAAAGGAGTCAGCTCTTTGCATCAGGTGGCCAAAGTATTGGAGTTCCAGCTTTAGCATCAGTCCTTCCAATGAACACCCAGGACTGGTCTCCTTTAGGATGGACTGGTTGGATCTCCTTGCAGTCCAAGGGACTCTCAAGAGTCTTCTCCAACACCATAGTTCAAAAGCATCAATTCTTCTGCACTCAGCTTTCTTTATAGTCCAACTCTCACATCCGTACATGACCATTGGAAAAACCATAGACTTAACTAGACGGACCTTTGTTGGAAAAGTAATGTGTCTGTTTTTTAATATGTTGTCTAGGTTGGTCATAACTTTTCTTCCAACGAGTAAGTGTCTTTTAATTTCATGGCTGCAGTCACCATCTGCAGTGATTTTGGAGCCCCAAAAAATAAAGTCAGTCACTGTTTCTACTGTTTCTCCATCTATTTCCCATGAAGTCATGGGACCAGATGCCATGATCTTAGTTTTCTGAATGTTGAGCTTTAAGCCAACTTTTTCACTCTCCTCTTTCACTTTCATCAAGAGGCTCTTTAGTTCTTCACTTTCTGCCTAAGGGTGGTGTCATCTGCATATCTGAGGTTATTGATATTTCCCCCAGAAATCTTGATTCCAGCTTGTGCTTCCTCCAGCCCACCATTTCTCATGATGTACTCTGAATATAAGTTAAATAAGCAGGGTGACAATATACAGCCTTGACGTACTCATTTTCCTATTTGGAACCAGTCTGTTGTTCCATGTCCAGTTCTAACTGTTGCTTCCTTACCTGCATACAGGTTTCT